GGGCCTCATCCTCCAGAAATTGTTTCTTTGTTATGGGGTGGGAGGTGATTCTAATGTGCAGCCAAGGTTGAGAACCACTGATCTAGTACTTCTAAGATAGGTGGCCTCAATCTTGGTTCTGTTGACATTTTGACAGATAAATTACTGTTGTGAGAGGATGTCCTGGACAATGTAGGGTTTTTAGGAGCATCCCTGGCCTCTACCCACCAGAAGCCGGTAGCAATACTCTAATAGTGTTACCCCACACCCACACCACCCAGATTGTGGCAACCCAAAATGTCTGCAGAACTTTCTAAATGTCTCCTGTTGGGGCAAAATCACCTACTTTGTGCCTTTTGCTGTTATTGGTTTAGGAATGCACAGGTAAATCAGTTATCCAATAGGACAGGAGGAAAATTCTTCCAAGAAGCTTAGACTCACATATGATGCAAGTCTGAATAGAAATGTGCACAGGTTTTGGAGATGTTTAAAGAGGATTTATTGACCTTTCAATTTTGTTTTTAGAATCAGTTGAACAGGGCTCTATCTGATTTTTTACTTGGAATAACTAAGAACCCTTCAGTACTATGCTATGTGTAAAACTTGTGTCCAGTGACTTCAGTGCAAGAATCAGTTGAACAGGGCTCTATCTGATTTTTTACTTAGAATAACTAAGAACCCTTCCGTACTATGTCCAGTGACTTCAGTTGCCAAGGAAATCCATCTTCCTGTGGGTCTTGTGAGCCTGTCACCTGCTACCAGTCAGGCCCGTGAATGGGCCGTTCAGAGCAGTCAGTAAATGCAGTGCAGAGACAGCCCTGAGCAGGAAGGACAGGGACCAGCCCTCCTGAGGCTGGAGAGCAAACAATGAACAAGGAAACAAAGAAAGGCAATTTTAATTGTAGATGGTGATAAGTTCTGTAGAGAAAAGAAAACATCAGACAAGTAAATAATTACAATAAAGTGAGTGTTAGGATTGGGAAGTACAGGGCACTGTGGAGATTATAGTAGTGGAGGCCACCCATGCCAGATGATCTGAGAGGGATCCATCCTGCCCCTGCCCCTTCTGTGCTGCTCATTCATCCATTCCAGGCCTCCGGTAGCCACCTAGGTCTACATCAGCAGTTCCACCTCCATGCTTTAGTGGGCCTACCTGCCTGTCATCACTACTGGGTCCCGGGGAGCCTTTAGCACTTCAAATCACCTCTCCCTTGCTGCCAAATCTTCCCTCCTCCTGCCACCCCCACCCCATTTGGATCATCTCTGTGAATGGATCAATAGCCCAAGTCAGAAACCTGGGCATCACCCCTTCTTGCCCCTCATTGGGCACAGCCAGTCAACACCAAGGCTGGTGGATGCAGCCTCCTCAGCATCTCCTGACACCCCCACTGCCATGTCAGTATTCAGTCCATCATTCTCTCTCTCGCCCCCTCTCCCAGTGACCTTCGCCTTTAGTAACCAGCCCCCATCCTGAGATTGCATTATGACCACACTGGTATCTCCAAAACCCAAATCTGGTCCTATACGATCAAAACCCTTCCAGGATACATTTCTTAGCATGACCCTCCTGGTCTGATCCTTGCCTACCTCCCAAAGAAATCACCCATTGCTTTTTCCTCTCCTTCCATATGCAGCCACCCCAAGCTCCAGCACCCAAACACACCACATGCGCTCTCCTCTTTGCCCCGGCCTGTCTGTAACACCCTCCAGCCCCTTGCCTGGCTTAGTCATCACTTCCTCCAGGAGGCCTATCTTGACACCAGCCTCCTGGATTCAGTTTCCTGCCTCCCTCCCCTTGCTTCCCACAGCGGGCGCACGTTCCCTCCCACAGGCCTGTGCTACATTCGTTTTAGACTTCGAGCTTCTGAGGGATAAGAACTGTATTGTCCATTGTTTTGTCCACTCTGAAACCCAGTTGCCCTCCTCTCTAGAATTGGAGCTAACAATAATAGGTATATGTTAGTTGTATTGATTGGACTAAATGAGATAATAAATGGAAATTCCTATCGCAGTGGAAGTACCATTAGCCAACACACAAAGGGTAAATGGTAGCTATTACTATTGTAAAATTAGCATGAATCTAAACAAACATTTTATTGAAGTTTGGAATACATTCAGAAAAATGCATAAAATCATAGTGCACACAGAAAATCAATGGATTTTCACCCTGTCACCAGCCCCTAGATAGCACCATTTTAAAGCTGGAATGTTACCCCTACATAACACTCATCACCAGACAAACTATATAATCCAATTATGTATTTTATATATTAGCTACCTCCCTTCACCCCAATTTAAGCTCCAGAAGGGCCAAAAGTTCTTTTTTTATTTTAGTCCATTTTGTTCACTGCTGCATCCCCAGCTCCTAGAATAGTGTGGGGCATATAGTAGGTGTGCAAGAAAAAATTGCTGACGAATAAATGAGTAAGTGCTTATTTTCATCTCTTTAAGCTCCCAGGTGCTGAGGCACAGAGGTGGCTGAGAACTGCTGCCCTCCCAGGTTAGATAGCTCTGGGCAGGGGCCGGATGCCCCCAGCCCAGCCTGCGTCCTGAGCCCTGCAGGGCAGCACCCCACCCTGCGCAGCCCACTTTATCTTCATTCATTCC